AGGAAATATAGTCAACAATATTGTAATAAATATGGATGGTACCAGGTGAGTACTGGAAATATCAGGGGAAACACTTTGTACAGTATATGATTGTCTGACCACTATGCTGTACACCTGAAACTAATACAAAATAATATTGGATGTAAACTGTGTTTGGAAAAGAAAATTTAAAGAAAGAAAGAAGTAGAGAAGAGAGGGAGGGAGAGGAAGGACAGATTTGTTTCAAGATTTGTAACACCGCTGGTTCAAGTTTAGTGAGAATAAATGACTTCCCCACCCTCCCCAACTTTGGGTTTTCTGATCTAATTCTGGCAACTCCAAAATTTTATAGGGCCTGTTTGGTCCCCAAAGGGGGTAGATAATCGAGATTACATAGTTTTAGAAGTTTTTACTTGGATGTTAGAAAAGGTTTCTGAATTATTGGTGTGATTTGATTATCAAGATGACTGTGATATTAACATCTGATTTACTTATTCATGGTATTTAATTGCTCTCCATGATTAATTAGGACATTTCCTTCCTCATAATCCTCCTGGATTATGGAAGAGTCACATAAAGTGAGGTGTGCTTTGCCCTGGGCGAATCACAGCCCTCCTTATTTAATAGCTCTGCATCACTTCTTTTATTTTCTTTAGGAGAACAGTAGAGTTTGTGCTAGAACAGGTATTTGAATCCTGAGTTCTTTCCTTGTTAGTCTTGGAACTTGGAGCAAGTCACTTGACATTAATGCAGAATATGTGGGGTGATGAACACAATACAACTTACATACAGGTGATGTATTATAGCATCCTATACCTGAAACCTATATAACCAATGCCACCCAATAAATCCAATAAAAAACAGGATATAAAATAATACCAACCACAAAATTATTGGGTCAATATAGGAGAGAACTAAATTCCAACCCTGGGCTATGGAGTGGACATTTCTAATTGGGAGAAAAGATTAGGAAATGAAATCTGGAAATATAAACCACTCATTTGAGCATTTGAGAATGAATGGGGGGGGGGGGAATAGAGTCCTCCCCATTGCCCCTCCCTTAAATAGGAAATGAAATCTGGAAATATAAACCACTCATTTGAACATTTGAGAATGAATAGGGGGGAAAATAGAGTCCTCCCCATTGCCCCTTCCTTAAATGATTTATTCACATTTGAAGACTGTGAATAGAGGGAGAAAACAATTATTTTACACATGTAAAATAATGGATGGTAATTTGCAAAGGGAATGAGTAAAATGTTATTAAAAAGTTACTTTTGATCTTCAAAAGATCTTAATGGATTTAATATTTTCATTCATTTGTTAATGTGGATAGATTGTCAAAGTGAAACTTTATTATCTCTTCAAGCCACGAATAGTATATAAAGGTGATATTTTTATAAAATTTGATATATTTTCCAGAAATGTTTATAGCTATGCACCACTTTTTTAAATCCTCACCCATGGATATGTTTTTGGTGTGTTTTTTAAATTGATTTTAGAGAGAGAGGGAGAGAGAGAAAGAAACATTGATGTGAGAAAGAAACATGTGAGAAACATCAATTGGTTGCCTCCCTGTGACCCGACCGGGGATTAATCTGCAATTCTTTTGGTGTCTGGGATGATGCTCAGCCAACTGAGCCACCTGGCCGGGGCCCAGTGCACCACTTTGAATGTGTATTAGAACAAACACCTTTTATCATTTATACTTTTGATGGATACTATTGCTTAGAATGAGGTAAAAGGAATAATATTTCGGTAATATACCTTTTAACATAAATGTAGTGAAGGAAAAAAAGAGTGAGTTGATCTAGAGAAATGTGTTAAATAATAATACAGGTGGTACATGGAATATGGGAAAAACTGAAGGAGGGAAGTGAATGACTGAGGTTTCCAAAACCCTCGACTACAACATGGGCCCTGCTGTTTTCCTTTGGAGGTTCCAGACACCCCCTTGGGAAATCAGACTGTGGTGCAGAAGTCCTACCCCATGCTCCCCTGTGGGCAGGGGAAGGTTCAGAAGCCCAGCTCTCTCCCTGCTGAGACGGGCGCTGGACCTGGGGGAGATGGCCATTCAGGAGCTGACAGGTGGAATCCTGGTGTTATCACTCGCTAGCCATGGGCCCACACACCATGTTACTCAACCTTCTGAAACTATTTATGTGTAGAAT